GTCGACATCCCCAGAAAAAGGGGAGGCGGACAGCCACTTACAAAAATCCACCCCCAGAACCCCCAGAACCCCCGCATGCTCAATCTTGAACACGCTCTCCTTCAATTTATTCCTCCGCGCATCTCTTTCCTTGGCGGAGTCCATGAGCCTTTCCTCGCTGGCCGCATGTCCAGCTGCACCCGTGCCCTCCTCGCCCATCGGAGCACCCTGCGTTATCCGCCTTACAGCAGCTGCAGCAGCGTTCTGTGCTTCCTCCTCGTCCTCCGCCGCCGCCAGAGCCTTCGCGCTGGACAACTGTGCCTTGATCTTGCGGAATTCATTTGCTGAAGGTGGTGTGGGTGATTGCGATTGCGGTCGAGATTTGTTGCGAATGGCATTCCTCGAAGGGGAGACGGGGGGTTTCATTGTCGCTTGTCGCTTGTTGATTGTTGAGAGGGTTGTCGGCCGCAGGATTGGTTTGCGTGTTGAAGGTTTTATATATCAATGAAGGGATTTCCTCCTCGTGTTTCTTTTCCGCTTTATGCTTATTTCAGCAGAAAGACGTAATTGCGCGCTGTTCACAGCGTATGGACCTGATCACTCGCTTGTATATGTACTGCACTTCTTCTTCTGCTTCTTCTTCTTTTTTTTTCTTCTTTTTCTCCTGCCTCACGTATACCATCACACCAGGGCCACAAAACAGCCGCGATCGTATACCGGGACAGGAATAGCAGGAGCAGGAGCAGGAGCAGGAGCAATATTAACTATTCCCGTACCTGTACCCGCACCCGCACCCATACTCGCAGCAAGAGAGAGAGGGAGGGGGAGAGGGAGAGGGAGGGAGGTCGCACACACGCAGAAAGGACGGTTCGAGAGCTCAGGTGTTTTGGCTTCTTCTTCTATTTTATTCAGTGATGGGAACGCGTAAACTCGTATCGCTTTTGCTTATGCTTCTGCATTTTTCCCTCTCCGGCCAGGGTGCTGAGCTGTATCAATCTTCGTTCCGGAGGAAAGGGGGGAGGAAGAAGGAGGAAGATGAAACTAACAGGGCAAGCCGGATGACAATATCTGTTCAAATATCAATTTCAAATTATTTTTAAAGCATCAGCATCATGGGAATGGAAGGCTTTAAATAGCCGATTGAGTGCCTGCAGCCTTCAAGAGATGGCAGTGGAGCAGTGCTACGGACGAGAAATGTTTGCACGCAAATCACGTGGTACTTAATGAAATGGATCCAAAGCGGGCTGGTCAAGGCGATGGATAGTAAGATAGTGGGTGTATTAATTTGCAAAGCGACAGAAGAAACAAGTGGAAAATAAAAATAATACAATTGATGTTATTACCATACCACCAAAAAAAACAAAAAAAAATGAAAAAAAATGAAATGATGGAAACATTTATTCATTGTTGAATGTGTGAAAAACAACCTCTGATACAGAGCTAGTGCCATCAGCATCACAAAGCAAACACCCAAGTATAAAAGGGATATTCCTCTAAGCATTGTTGTAAAGAAGGCACTGCCTATTTTTCCCGTTATTGCTGCTGTTGAGGTTAGGAGAAAAGAATAGTGACATGCACAGCACTCACTCGTAGTAGATAATGGGAGCCGTTAGTGTGGATAAAATCAAAGCCAAGAACCAAGTATAGATAGGATAATTTTGTTGTATGTAGCAAAGGTATGTGTAAGTACTCGTCGGGGGTAGTTGGGGCTGTTGAAAAAGAAAAATAGCCCTGGAGGAAGGAAGATAAAGACAAAAAAGGAGATATAACCCCAAGCCCCAAAAGCCTCCACCCTCAAGCCGCCAAAAAATGGAAAGGCGGGACGAGGGGGAGGAAAGAAGAGTACCTAGATAAAAAGAAGCAAGAAAGCAAATGGAAATAAAAGAAATCAAAAAAAAAAAAAAAAAAATCAAAAAATCAAAAAATCAAAAAAATCAAAAAAATCAAAAACACAGAAACAATCCTCGTTCATGAACGTATATCCTTCACTGTCCGATCCATCCCTTACACGCCTACGACCACCTCTTTTCATCTAGCTCCTTCTCCTTCAGCCCGCCCATCCTGTCCAAATCAAGACTCTGAAACCTCTCATTCTCATTCCCGCCTGGCTGACGCTGATACGGGGGCAAGAACTCCTCTGTCTCCTCCGCACCGCCACGCGCCTGGTAGGCCCCATCCTTGCGCCCCTCATCCAAGGGCTCCAACCCAATGCCGCCCTTCTCACTGATGCGCACAACGACCACACGTCCACTCATCCGCTTCCCGGTCGCATCTTCCTCTTCAGGGAACGTGATGCGGATTTCCGGCACGGGGCTGTGTGGGGGGCTTAGCGAGGACGGCGAGTGATTTGGATTCGAGCCCTTCTCGTCGATGACGAAGAGAGAGTTTCTGTTTGAGGCGGAGATGGTGAGACCACGGCCGCGGCCGCGGCTTTTGTGGTGGTAGAGCGGGAGTTGAGACTGTTCCCGTTGACGTCTGCGGCGGATGACGAGGTAGGAGCCGATGAGGGCAAGAGAGAGGAGGATTAGGACAAGGAGGGAGATGAGGAGGTCTACGGTTGAAGAGGTTAGGCCGCCATTGTCGTTGTTGTCGTTGTCATTGTCGTTACCGCGGGCGGCTAGGCGTCGTAGCGCATCCATGGAATTTTGGTTGTTTTTTTTTTTTTTTTAACTTTTCTATTCTCTTCTTTGAGGGTTTGTTTGTATGGGGTGTCGCAATCAAGCGAATTAAAGCCGGCGATTAACAGGAGCTATTATAGATAGATATCGAATATTCAGATCACAAGGGAACGACGGTGCAGATCATGGAGTGTTAGATGGGGAAGTTCCCTGTTCGACGAACAGATACGAATTAACACCATATAAATAAATCCACCACCAGCGCAGAAACTAAAGATCCATACGAACCGAAGGGGTATTGATTATTAGCGATCTGGAAAGAATATATCGTCGCACAGCGGTGAAAAGAGCGTTGTAGTGGTTTGAGTATTTTGCTTTTTTTTTTCTCTGTCAGATAAGAGGGAGCGTGATGCCAGGCCAAGCGGGCGTTCTCCCCTTATTTTTTTTCCTTTCTCTCAGGAATCAGGAGTAAGCAAGCAAGTCAGGCAAACGAAGGAGCGACAGCAAGGTGATCGGCTGAAGGAATGAAGCCGATACCCGCAAGCAATGAGTGACAGGAGATAAGACGGTTGGAGGATGCAGAGGGAGGGGAGAGGTGAAGGAGAGGGGAGGAGAGTGAGAGAGAAGGGAAAGAGGAAGAAGGGGAGCAGCAGAAAGGAGCGGCGGAGGGGGGACGGGCGCAGCGCCAGCCAACCAGCGACGCCATTACGTGACGGTATACCAATTTACCGCCCGTGACCAGCTCGTGGCTTCCAAGGTCCG